AGTCAGCTCACTTGGTTTTGAGGCAGAGCCTATTCAACTGTATAGATAGGCCTACCATTTTTATAGATATATTTATTTATAAATACATTGTAACTGTATATACAGGTTTTATGTTTATTTGATTTTCTATTTATTATATATACATATGATATTGCCAAAATATTAAGTTGAGATGTAGGACTCCATTTTCTGGCAATCATTTTTTTATTGGTTTCTGACTATTGATGCATTTAAATTATTTAGTCTTTATCTTAACTGTGATATAAATTAATAACTTTGCTTGATCTAATATTTAATACTGCAAACTCTATCTGCAGTTTTCTGCTTTCCTACACTGCTACCCAGCTGTGCTCCAAAACAGCTGTGCTTATCAACACTAGAAACCACAGGAAAAACTAAAAAGAAAAAGAAAAAATTATCTTGCCCAAAATCTACTTAAATTTTAATTTGAAAAGTTGGAACTAAAACATTTTTTTTTTTTTTTACACCTGTTGCATTGAAAAAAAAAATGTTGTTTTTGAATATGTTTGTGTAATGCTGTAAAATCTGTCAATTTCTCTCAGTGGTCAATGTAAAATAATATGATCTATTTAGCTATAAAATGATAAATGAAACATGAATACAGATGCATTTTATTAATTTAGCAGCAAGCTCATTTTAATTGGCATCTGACATTTGTCATCAAACATAATGGGGAAAAACAGTGAAAAGCATTAGTTGTGTATTTTAACATGGACAGCTGTTCAATACAAAAACCCTTTTAAGTGAGATTCCAGTTTAAACTAATAAATTACTGTATGCATTAATATTACAAATCATTTGGCAGACAATAATATTATAGTTTTAGATTTCTCATTTGTTCTAAATCTCCTTGCCTTGAAGTGAATTTGGCAGATTATGATCTAGATATCTTAAACTTATTTCATGGCCAATTGATCAGTCACATATATAGTCTACAGGGCAGTGAGATACTAAATAGTGTAACTAATACATCCATTTTCAGTAATGCCTTACTAGTTTAATCAAACAAGAAGCCAGTTATCACAGTTTACTGACACGGTTTAACAAGAAAGGCATGATACATGACTCTTGTATTCATCAACATCAGATTGGAGTAGAGAATCGGTGCAAGCACAGTGGAATTAAACACAGATTTGGGCAGGAACTGAGAATTGCATTGCAGTGTCTTATAACAGCAGGCTGAAATCCAAGGTATCAATACTAGCAACGGGCTCTTTCCAGTAGTTGAAGGCGGAGTACTTCAACAGCTCCAAATCATCTTCCTCCTCCTGTCCCAGGGGTTTTTGGGAGCTCTTGGTCGACTTTGCCTCCTTGGACTTGGGTGTAGAAATGTCAAGGTCTTCCAGCTCTGACAGGTCCAGTGATGGGATGGGCTGCCTCCAAAACAGGAAGGAGTCAAACTGGGTGCTGCTTGTGTCTAACATTTCGATCTGCGCATTAAAAAGAGATTAAAAGATCAACACTGCACTGCTGCCAAGCAAATATTCATTTGGATTAATAAATTACATAATAAAGACTAACTTGCTTGTTGTTTCAAAGAATACATTGCATTGCTTGCAATTTAAAAACCCGTTTACTTTTTCCCCTCAGGGAGCTCCTGACTTCCCCATGAGCTATTTTCAGTTACCTGCTATTTTCAGGGAAACTTGAGCAATTTACATCTGTTAAACAACTTTCATTTACAGGCCAAAGGCTAAAATCTAACATAAAATAATAAGCACAATTATTATTAATTATAATAAACTAATATTATACTGTACTATAATTATTATTTTTTAATTGATGATTAAAATCATTTTAATTTATGCTAATTAACTGTAAGCAATTTAAATGTAAAAACAACTTTAATATGCATGTCAAAGCAGAAATGATCATTATGATAATTATAAAATAAGAAATAATAAAACAGTGGCAACAACAAACTAAAATATCATGTTCAAGAATCGTCTGTGTGATTGTGTCTGCACTTTAGGCATCTAATTATATTAATATATCATAACTAGATGGAAGATTTAAGATCTTACAAGTGCAAGATTTAAGACCTTACAATAAAATGAAAGCAAATTACATGTGCAAATAACTTTCATATGCATGTCAAAGGAGAAATATATTGTAAAACCATATATAAAAACTTGTTATCAGTATGATTATAAAATAAGGAAAAATAAAAATGTTGTGGCAACAAAAATCTTAGATGTCATATTCAAGAATTATCTAGCTATATGATAGTGTCTGCATATTAAGCACCTAATTATATTAATATTATAATTAGATGCAAGATTTAAGATCTTACAGGTGCAAGATTTATATATATTGTGTATATGTTGTACTACTAGGCTATAAAAATAACTTATCATTATGCCTATTATTAAAGTAGTAATAATAAAAAATGATTCACAATAAAATAAGTATGTTCAAGAATAAGCGATATGATGGTGTCCACACTTCTGCCATCTAATCATATTAATATATTATAATTAGATGCAAGATTTAAGACCTTACAGGAATAAGAACAAAGTAGCATTATCTTTTCATTACAAAGAAGATATATCATTTGGAAGCTGCAATTTAAAAACATACGAAACCTTTAAAAAGCCAATGATTATCACGAAGCCGCTCTAATTAATTGAGCTGCACGTTCATGTCGCGTCGTGGGGTGATTTAGCTCTGGCCACACAATGCAGCGGCGGTGTACGCCCAAATTTCACAGAAAATCGGTGGATGAGGTCCTTAAAGGACCATCAGGAATAGCCTGCATGTTTTTTTTTTGCAGCATCTCACATGCACATCTATTAAAAGACAGGCTCTCGCAGCCCCAAAAATAGTGATGGCGCATCTCATGACAAAGCATTTCAGAGATGCTTCAGTTCAGTGAGCAACTAACCTTAAATAGGCCTCAAGCAAAAACATTTACTAGTAAAAGCCGTTCAAATGACCGTATTTTTAACTGACAAATGAGGTCATATTAATTAATTAGTCTGGACATCATGCCTATGTGATGGAACACCAAAATCATTTGAAATGCTTTAAATTAACAGGATTAAAACAGAAATATTGCTCAGCAAAATTAACAATTGAAAGAACATACCCCTAGTATGTGATCAGATCGGCTCTCTGTGAATTACAAGCTGGTTTGTAGTAATTCGGATTTGAAGAAGAACAGAAGATGCACCCCGTTTAGTCTCAATCTTCTCGCCGGCTGCTCAGCATGAAGCAACCGCACCCAACATCACTAGTGGAAGATTTGCATTCGCCCCGCCCACCTTCTGCAGGCGATTGAGGGGGACCAGTGACAGGTACATAATTAGCGTCAAGTGGGCGTGGCTAATCGATTGTTCTAATAAAATAGTGAAATTTAGTAACTGCATTAATGGGTGTTTGTTAGTAGTTTTGTGGTGTCTTTACAATCTCTGGTACTCATTTGCATCTGTTAATGACCCCTTCTTCTGTTTTGCAAGTGGAGTCGTCTATTGTGTGTGTGAAATGTCAGTGCTGTTTGTTGATTGGCTGAGTTCAGCGTCCATCAGGTCGATTGACCCTTCTCTCCACTGACTGAATTTCCTGCACGCAAAATCGAAATATATTGATAATTTCAATAGAATAAAATGCTCAGCTTTAGTGTGTGAATATTTATTTTAATTTAGTGAATACCAGGGGCCAGTTGCATAAACAGCCACTATGTTAAGACTGTGTCTTAAGAACTAGTTTGACCAACTAGTAGCTAGTCAAGAGGTAATCAGACTTACTTGTTGGATTCAAATTAGACCATTCTACCTTTTTATAACTGACTTGAAGAAGTTAAAAAAATTAATTAGATGACTAACTTTTTAAGACTAGTCTGAGTGGTTTATACAACCGGCCCCAGGACTATTGCGGCTGGGGAGATTTCTAAGTACATAACACAAATCAAAGACAGTTGCATAAACTTAGCCACCATCTTAAGACTGTGTCTTAAAAATTTGTTTGACCAACTAGCAGTTGCCAAAGAGTAATCAGTCTTACTTTTCCAATACAAATAAGACCAATCTACCTTTTCATAACTGAATTTAAAAAGCTATGACCAGTCTTGAAGAAAAACAATTAGTTGACTAACTTTTTAAGACTAGTCTAAACCGTTTATGCAACCGGCCCCAGAGATGCACAGACTGTAAATGGTTCAGTAGATTAATATTAAAATCACGTTAGATATTTACAGGAATATAAAGAAGCTTTTAGATAAGTAGTGTGCAAAAAGATAACACATTGTTATTCAATATTATCCCTGTTGTGAAATATAGAATATTCAATACTGTATTATAGGTATGATAATAATAATAATAATAAGTTGGTACATGAAATGACTGACTTGCATGAAAAGGACTCATTCAAACACATGAGATGAAAATAAATGATTTACACTAGATTTTAGCTCATTCCCAGTTACAGAAAACGTAGTCAGTCCTGTTTAACAGGTAAAGTTAAAAGAAAGAAAGAAAGATAATTCTCTTCTGTCATTATTTTTGTGGAACACAAAAGGACATGTTTGGCAGAATGTTTGGGACTGACAGCCTTAGTCACCATTCCTCATTCATTGCATCATTTTGCCCATACAGTGAATGTAAATAAAGCTGTCACTTTTCTTATCATTTTTTTTTTGTATTCTACTATAGAAAGAAAGTCATATTGGTTGGAAAAATTAGGGTAACTAACTGATGACAGATATTCTATTCTATTCTATTCTAGAGTTGCCATCTTCAGTGCAGCTCGAACCTGCACGTCCATCCTCCAACCACGAGATGCCACTAGATACCTGGTAATAATTCATATCCCATACGTCTTGAAATATCAAAACATTTTACAGCAGCAATTTTGCCAGTATGATTAACAAAACACTTTGCTAAATAGAGAAAATACCGCTGAGTAATAAAGAGTATATATAAGCTTCCGACGTGACGTCACTGTTTACAAACACAGGCACCGGAAGTGAGACACAGGCACCGGAAGTGAGACACAGGCAAAAACAAGATTACGGAAAGAGTGTGACGTGCGCTGGAGAGACAGCAAAACCTGTAGATTTCAGCCAGACACCTCCACTGGATTACTGTGTTTTACAGTGTATGTTTTAGGGGCGAAGAAGAACGTTTTAAAGACTGCAGAAAGGTCGCTATGGTAAGTTTCTGCTGCCCTTAATGCAGGGTGAACGGCTATACTCTTATCAAGATTGTAAATACACACTAGTATGTTTATGAACTCACATACTGTACTGAGTAGAAGAGAAGTTATCTTTTGCAAATAAACCGGCAAATAAATACCTTACTGTTTTTTAAAGGACACAATCCTTGTGTTGACATTTAACTTATTAACAACCTCATCTGCAGTGTTAATTGTATAAATTGGGAACAATTGCTCGTTTGCACTTTTACTAAGTGAATCTTGTCTAAATTTCTTTCTGTTTGTTTCAGAGTTTGTGAAATTCACAATATGAGATCAGAAAACTTTCTTAACCTCCAGAGTGTCACCCTTCAGTGATCAGGTGAAAACTAACCCTAAGGGTCTTTAAACATAGGCTATGGAAATATTATGTTTTGTCAAACAAACTATTGTAACTCTAAGGCTCATATTTTTATGTCTACTTAAGTGTTGCACAGTAATGCATTCTGGTTTGTACATGTAGAGTTTGTAAATGCTGACATGCTTTGTGTGCGTCCACAGAAAGCCTCCCTGTGACTCAGCTGTTCCCAGAATTAGGCAATTCAAAAACAACATGACTAGGCAGAGGTGCGCCACTTTAACAGTTTCTTCCTTTGCATACTAGTGATGGATGTGGCATGAAAGCAAGAAAGGACTAAGTAAAAAAAACAAAAAACTAAAACCCAGTAATACGAAGTAAGCAAACAAAAAAATTTGGGGAAAAGCAAAAAAATAAATAAAAATAAAACAATTTTATTTGATCAGCAATTTAAGATTTTAATGAAGTAAGCAAAAAAAAAAATTTGGGGAAAAGCAAAAAAAAAATAAAAATAAAACAATTTTATTTGATCAGCAATTTAAGATTTTAAAAATCATATTTGCTTTCAACCCAACTTTAATTGGCTCTGTTAATTATAAGCACACAATCTCACCTGTCAGGTCATGGCAGATTCTTGCCCAGACACCATTGATGGTGAGATTATAGGCGTTTCCGAGGGACAGCAGTTAAAAACAACCAAAAATGAGGACTTTGATGCTGCTAGACCACACGACAAGGAAATCAGCCAAAAAGAGGGTGACACCGATACTGAGCAATTCTCCGGGAGCATTTCTCACCTTATGAAAGATGGCCTCACAACATGCAAAGAACCTCCTACAACCACAGCGTCTCTTGAAGATGATGCTAATGCAGCTCAGTCCGTGACCAGTAAAAGCCAAGACAAAACCGATGAATCTGAGATCCTCAATAGCCAATCTTACACGCCCAGCCAATCAGAGGTGACGCCCACTTTCTCCATGGCCAGCCTGGAGTTCTCCGAGGAGACTAATGGGATTCCTCCTGATGGAGCTTTGATTTCGTCCAAATCTGCTCAGGATGGCAACCAAGTCCCCTCTCAGGAGAGCGGAGGGGCCTGTGCGGGGGCTGCGAGGGCATCAGAGCCTAGCATGCCGGCATATTATTTTGTCAAGTGGATTACCTGGAAAGAGAAGAAGACAGCCATTATCACACAGAGCGAGAACGGACCCTGCCCCCTGATTGCCATCATGAACATCCTGTTGTTGCGGTGGAAGGTAAGCCATTTAGCATTACCTGCTCGTCATAGTCGAGCTGTTGAGTACAAATACATGGAGCAAAGCAAGTACATTATGTGTGGTGTTTGATAAGGCAAGCATCACTTATACTGTTCGAACACTGTTTGTTTTACTGATGTGAAAGTTACTTTGAATTTTGCAAGTCATCTGACATGATTTTCACCTGGTGAACAATAACTGGACCAAAATGATAAAAAAAAATGTAGTCCATCTGTGTTGCATCGACTAAAATCAGTGATTAATATAATATGTGACCCTTGACCACAAAACCAGTCTTGAGTCGCATGGGTATATTTGTAGCAATTGCCAAAAATATATTGTATGGGTCAAAATTATCGATTTTTTTTTTCGAAATTCGACTTTATCGGAAAAAAAAGTGTTGTGAAATAGAAGAAAAGATGTAGACGAGGGTGTGCCGTGACTAATAGCAGAAGTATTTGTTTGTGAATTTCATGTTCATGTACTTCAGATCATTATGTATGTAAAATATGAACTGTATGAAGTCTGTCTATTCTTCAGGTGAAGTTGCCGGCTCAGACAGAAGTGGTCACCACTGAAGAGCTGATGGCTCACCTTGGTAGGATGTTTTAGAGCACTGGACATGCAGTTTCTTTTTTTACCAATCAAATTACATTAAAACACAAAGTGCACACAGCACATCCATCGTGGTAATGGACTGTAATAAGTTAAGGAGCTCTAGTGATGCACCACAGTAAACTTTATGGTTGGAAACAGATGGCTGATGTGACTTGAGAAGGAGGGGGTGTGGTTACTGTGTGAAAACATTTGTGTTTCAGTACCATTAATGGCACCCCAATCACGCAATATGTACCATTAAGTCTCTGCTCTTTGTGTAAGTAGTCATTTAGAAGACGCTTTTAGGTTAAGTGCCTCGCTCAAGGACACAATGGTAATACTTTCTGACCCCTCGATGGGTTTGAATCCTTACTAGTCCAGATGTTTAAAGTAATAGTTAACCCAAAAATGAAAATTTGCTGAAAATGTACTCACCCTTTGGCCATCTAAAACATTTGTTGGAGAAGTTTAGTATTACATCACTTGCTCACCAATAGATCCTCTGCAGTGAATGGGTGCCGTCAGAATGAGTCCAAACAGCTGATAAAAACATCACAATAATCCACAAGTAATCGTTGATCAGTAAAAGTTGATCAATTACTGTCTTGTGAAGCGAACAAACTCTGCATTTGTAAGAAATAAATCAATCATTAAGGTGATTTAACTTTAAACCGTTGCTTCTGGCCAAAAATACAAATCCATAATCCATAATAATGCTTCCTCCAGTGAAAAAGTCTTACAGTGCCCCTATTATGGATTTTTGAAAATGACCTTTCATGCAGTGTGTAACACAGCTCTAAGTGATTGAAAACATCCTGCAAAGTTTTAAATCTGAAAGTGCACCGTGTATAAAGTTATTGTCTCTCAAAAGAAAGAATAGACTCTGAATCATTGAAAGAGTATTTTTAAAACGAATCCCAAGCCGTTTCATGTTGACCGACGTCAACATGAAACATTAGCATATTGCCCGCCCACTTGTCGGTCTTTTCGAATTGGTTGAATTAAAATGCAAATTCATTCTTTGCCACTAGGTGCTGCTTTTGGAGCGGTAAAAATAGCGGTTTCCCGGTAATAACGCTGTACACAAAGCAGCACTGCGCTTTATCGGGCATTATGATGAAATGAAAATGAGACCAATCCGACCAATCACCGCAGATTAGCGTCACGCAAAGGAGGGGTTTGGAAAAATAAATAATTGAGCGAATAGTTTGGGAGTCATTGAGCAAGTAAGGTAAAAATAAATTCATATTATAAGACAATGACAGTGTTTTTTGACCTTGCATTCATGTCAACCTGTTGTTGGGGACTCCCAAAACCAAAATATGAACCTTTCATTACCCATAATAGGGGCACTTTAATGATGGATTTGTTTATTACAAACATGCAGCTTTTTGCTTAACTGGAGTTGTGTGGATTATTGTGATGTTTTTATCACCTGTTTGGACTCTCATTCTGACGGCACCCATCCACTGGAAAGGATCCATTGGTGAGCAAGTGATGTAATGTATCTGTTACATCTCATGAAGAAACAAACTCACCTATATCTTGAATGGCCTAAGTAAATTTTCAGCAAATGTTCATGTTTGGGTGAACTATTCCTTTAACTACCACTCTTGATCAGCTATGGGTGTAGGTTTTCTTTTACAGTGTCCCTAAAATGTATTTGGTAACGTTTGCACATTGAAGTCACAAACATGAATGTCATTGCATTGCATTAAATAACAAAATTCAAACTGTAAAAAAAAAAAACTCTTAACTTTTCTTATCCATTTTTTTAAATTCCTATTAACCAACTGGTGTCACTATCATAGTATTTATATTTACGTACTTACATTTCTCTAATACAATGATATTTTAAGTGTGGCTTAAGTGTCCAAATATTTTTTGGAGCCACTGTATATCACCTCTTATTAGGTCATAGCTAGAAAGATAAACGTGTTATGTTGCTGAGTGATGGGGAGATAAACAAGAAGTGCTTTCACAAACAATACAAATATGTTTGACATGAAAAGGTGACACTTCTCAAATCACACAACCTTTGGCAGAAAGCTGAAGTGTTTTTGAAATGCTTAAGCCCAACTTTTTCTCGTTCTAGGTGAATGTGTGCTGTCCATCAAACCGCGGGAGAAAGCAGAAGGCATGGAGCTCAATTTCCAGCAGGTAAATCGTAGTATGGGAGAACCATTGTAACAGCTCTGCACATGTCTAGTGAATATAATTAACATGTTAAGCAGCTGGGCTGCGCTGGAAACCTCAGAACCAAAAGACATATACAATCAGATATTGTGAATGAGGTCTTCAATCTGTGAATGAAGGCTTGTGATCCCTTCATTAGCAATTCCAACAATTACAACATGTGTTTGTGCTTATAGATGCACAAATTAAAGCCTCCTTTTGTTCATGTGCCTTTGCTGTTCCTTTTTGCTCACGACTGAAAATCAAATGGATTCGATTCGAAGCTTATGCAAGATAATGCTAATGTTCTCATATTTAGTTTAATCTTTCAGTTCATATTTTTTATAATATAGATGAAAATAATAAATGAAAAATGTATACATGATTTCTTTTAGAATATTTCAGATTATCATTTATTATTTATACAGTCTGCTATTGGCTTGTCTTGAGAATTGCAAACAAAAATAATCAAGGTTTTTAAAAAATTTTTATTAATATGTTTATTCAGCAAGGTTGCCATTAATTTGTCAAAAGTGACAGCAAAGGCATTTATATCGCTACAAAAAAAATTCAATTTCAGACTTTTTAACATTAATAATAATAAGAAATGTTTCTTGAGCACCAAATCAGCAAATTAGAATAATTTCTGAAGGATGCTGACCCTAAACGTTTGAACTGTAATTAATCATTTTTTTTCATGCAATTTTGTGATTTCAACTGAATAGCTTAGCTATGAGCAGTCAGCATGTTTTGTGGTAAATATTACTCATACTATCTTCCACTTAATCCAAATATCTCAATATAGCAGATGCTGAGGCCAATAACATAACCGTCATAAATTAGCCTGTATGCATTTGTGTATATTTTTGTCTCAGAAGATTGTTTTTAATTGCATTTCTCATTCCCTTCACAGAACATGAGTGACGCGATGGCTGTGCTGCCAAAGTTGTCCACAGGCCTCGACGTTAATGTGCGTTTTACAGGTGTGTCGGATTTTGAGTACACTCCTGAGTGCATCGTCTTTGATCTGCTTGACATTCTGCTTTACCACGGCTGGCTTGTCGACCCACAGGTACGTCAGCATAAAAATGATATAACGTGTGAATTCTGTGTATCCAAACAACAATACAAGTGCTCCATTCTTCTTCAGAGTCCTGAGGTGGTGTCTGCAGTGGGCAAACTCAGCTACAACCAACTGGTGGAGAAGATCATAGATTTCAAGCACTCGACAGATAGCAGTCAAGTCAGTGAAGGTACAGTTAATGTTATTTCTTATACACGAATGGCTCAGATATTCTATATCACAGGTGTGTGGACTCCTCAGCATTGTATTAATGGCTGATGGTAAATCTTAATGTCTGTTTGTTGACAGGTTTGATAGCAGAGCAATTTTTGGAGTCCACAGCAACCCAGCTGTCGTATCACGGCCTGTGTGAGCTCAACACGACAGCCAAGGAGGGAGAACTGTCTGTATTTTTCAGGAACAACCACTTCAGCACTATGATAAAGCACAAGGTGTTTAGCAGCCTTCCCACACCAACACTCTCCATAGCAGCTAAGCTGATTACAGCAACCCCAGCGACGTCAAGCCGCTTTAAACCCACCACCACCACCAAAAAAAATAAACAATAGATTTTGGGGCAGATTTTTATAGCAAAAATGTGTTTTTTGAGCCCAAGTTACACATCGAGCTTGGGTAAATTCATTTTGCTCACATTTTGAGCAGAAAGATGCACTTTAATGCAGAGATTTTGCTATTATAAACCTATAAAGTTGTAAGTTAAGACAAGATACTACAGGCAAAAACGCTTTTTTTTATGCAGTTTGGCTTTTCATAAAGGGATGTTTCTGACTATATACAAAGAAAACTTCCAAAATACACCACTTTATTGCACTTTATCTATTTGCATCTCTTTAAAGATTTCTGAAAAGGCTTTTTCTCTCCTGCACTGAGCCACAAATCTCCACTTCTGTTGCACTTACACCAAAATGACAGTTTAATTCCTGTCTCTATTCCTAAGGTTTTTACAGAGAGGTTTATCAATGTATAATTGACCTGATTTTAACATTTTATTCCTCAAAAAACAGTGAAAATTAGTTTTTTCTGGCTGTTTCTGATTTATAGAAAAAATATATCCAAAATCCCCTCTATAAAAAAAAACTTTGAGTCTAATATGTTAAAATACTAATATGTTGTTCAGATTTTTGTACTGAAAAAATGTTAAAGTGCAATTAATTAGACAATGCCTTATGTGCAAACATCACATTTCACATGTTGCATAAAAGCAGCACATTTCAGGTTGTATGTTAATATGATAATGGTACTTGAACCTCATTGAATTGCTTACTGAGATGCATTTGAAATTCAAATGGCTTTGTCGCTGTTACTTGGTTTGCTGACCCAGTGATCGGTATGTTCAATGTGTGAATTTGCAGGGTCACCTTTACCTGCTGGTCACAGATCAGGGCTTCCTGCAGGAGGAGAGCGTGGTGTGGGAGAGTCTCCATAATGTGGAGGGGGATGGGAATTTCTGTGACTCAGAATTCAGATTGTGTCACCCTTCCCAGAAACCCTCAGCAGCCACCCAGCCCTCCGCACAACAACAGCAGCAGCAAATGCAGATCGACCAGGTGATTACGATTTTGCCTGCTTTTTCCTATCATATAGGTGTAAGAGTAACCAATAATATCACAGCCTAACATCCCAATGCAAAACAAATCTACATTCTTACCCAACGATTATGCAGTTTCACTCAGAAATAGGTCATTTGATGTTAAGTTAAATGCTTTGAGAAAGCTTGTTTCATGTTGAAATGTATACCAACATTGGTTTAAGATGGATTCAGTGAATGTTTGGATGTGTTATCCAGGACTATCTGGTGGCAATGTCCCTGCAGCAGCAGCAGGGTGAAGCTCCTGGACCCATGAGTGATCTTGAGCTGGCCAGAAAGCTGCAGCAGGAGGAGTACCAGCAGCCACAAACACAACAGCACCAGCCCCAGCCCTCAGCAGGACAGGTACTTCCTGTCTTCCCTTCCGGAGGAAACGCTTGTGCATGAAACTTCAGGGAAGCATTCTTTGAGATTAAATTGGCTTTATTCATGAAACCCTAGCAGAATGAATGCCTGAGTAAATCATTTAGAAACCGTTGTATTCAATACAGTGCAGCGATTTACAAAGGAGTAGATTCATGAATGATTTACACACATTTGTTTTACTCGTTTCAAAGGACGTTGCTGTTCAATGATTTTTTAAATGTTTTTTAAGTCTCATGATTAACTGCATTTATTTGGTCAAAAAATAGTAAATATTGTGTAATATTGTGCGATATTGTTAAATTTAACAGAAATGTTTTCTATTTTAACATTTTAAAATGTAATTTATTCCTGTGACGGATTCAGCGTCGTGATTCTTCAGAAATCATTCTAATATTAGTTCTCAAGAAGCATTTCTCATTATCGGTGTTGAAAAGAGTGCTACTTAATATTTATTTCCAGATGAATAGAAAAATAGAAATAGATTAAATAGAATTTTTTGTAACATTGTCTTTACTGTTGCTTTTGATAATTTTAATGCATTCTTGCTGAAAAAAAAAATTATTTAAAAAAAAAGGTAGCGTAGTTCACCCAAAAATGAAAATTCTGTTATCATTTACTCACCCTCATGTCGTTACAAACCTGTTATGATTCTTTCTGATATTTTGAAGAATTTTCTATGAACTGTGTCTGTGATGATGTGGTAGGGAAGCTTGTTTCTGCAATGGGATTTAAAAAAAATTATAACAATTCAGACTTTTTCTTTCACGATTCTGTTGAAATACAGAATTTTTCCAGCTTCTCACAATTTTGTCTTTTGTCCTCACAATTCTGAGAAAAGAAATTGAGAAGAAAAGAATAAAAAAAGAATTGTGCGATTAAACATTCACAAATATCACCCTTTTTAATTAAATTCCGTAGCAGAAACAAACAAAAAAAAAAACAGAATTGCCGGATGTAAGAATTCTGAAAAAAATTCAAAATTGCGAGATGTAAACTTTTTCTTAAAAAAAGTGTCAAAATTGCAAAATGTAAATTCAGAATTCTGAAAAACATTTCTATATTGTGAGATTGTAAACTCTCTTTTTTTTCTGGGGGGGGAAAAAAGTCAAAATCGCTCCCAAAAAAAGCTTCCACAGGTTCCAAGAAGATACATAAGAAAGTTTAAAAAAACTATTCCTTTAAAAAGCCTAAAGCTGTTGTCAGATGCCCTTTGTAAACTTTCCCCACTCAGTTAAAGGTTTCTGCAGTAGTGTAGTGACATAATTCAGAAAGAAGACTTACTGAACTCTTTCTTCATATCCCTGCAGATGAGAGGTCAGGCCGCATCTCAGCACGGAGGACAGAGGCGCCGGGAAAAGAAGGACGACTCGGATTGCTGTATTCTTTAGGTCAGAGTCCACTAACCACCATAACCAGACTCTCAAAGCCAGTTCGGCTTCTTCTGTACCACTACTGAAACTCGAGACTTCACTCTTAGCAGACCTGTCGTCCCAATGCCAAGCCTGCCTTTACAGTACAGTTGACCCCTTGTTTTCGCCTTTCCTTTATCCTCATGGTTGGAACTGTTGCTCATCGTTGTCTACTGGACCAAATAAAGGTAGCAATTGTTTCTAAGCACTAATGAGCGTTTGTTTGAGCTCCTAACTATGCCATTAAAGATTGAAGACTGTAATAATAAATAATCAGGTATTGTAATAAGAATTTAATATTACACTGAAATGCTACTGTCTCAAGTTGATCTGTACATAGTTACTCGTCATCGGCTTTTCATCCAAAGTGATGTACAGTACACTAAGTACACAGGGCTCCGTGGAGCTCCCTGGATCCTGTAAGCTGAGCTAATAAAAGCCACCTCTGTTAACAGGAAATGTGTGACCATTGATTTATGAAACGTCTGGAATATTGATATTACACAAAGAAACTTAAGTGCAGCGTTTTTTGTGCAGAGTCATCAAAATCATTTTGCACACAAACAGTTTAGTGTTATCATAAGCACATGCACAATGGGCTCCAAAATCTGAGAGCTTTTGTGAAAATGCTTCTATTTTGCATTTTTGTCTAATACAAACCTGATGATCATAAATAAAAGAGCATATGTGCTTTAATTGAAGACGGAACATCTGGCTGGCTGTACAAAGAGATACATGATCAATGTCACAAATTTATGCACATTTGGATTCAGAGAATTAAAGTGTCACTGTCTTTTTATTTCATAATTTAACTTTAAAAATAATTTTTCCAGATTTAAAGGGGAAAAAAATTCCAATGCGTCAAAGTCTCTGATTTTATTCAGACAAGGAATTTTAATAAGCATGCAAAAGTTTGGGGTAATTTTTTTGAAAAAGAAATTAGGATACATTAAACTAACGAAAAGTGATGGTAAAGACATTTGTTACAAAGATTTCTATTTTAAATAAATGCTGTTTTTTTATTTTCTATTCATCAAAGAATCCTGCAAAAAATGGTCAATAATATTTTAGCTATTTTTAACATTGATAAAAACAAGAAAAGTTTCTTCAGAAGCAAATCAGCATATTAGAATGATTTCTGAAGATCATGTGACACTGAAGACTGGAGTAATGATGCTGAAAATTCAGCTTTGACAGGAATAAATGACATTTTATAAAATAGAAAACCAATATTTTAAATTGTAATCATATTTCACAATATCGCAATTCTTACTGTATTTTTTGATAAGGATAAAGATATTAACATTTTAAAAATATTACCAGCCTAAACCTTTTGAACAGGGTGTATTGTTTTTATATATTATATATATTTAAAAAAATATGTAATAATTATGTAAAACTATTTCAATAAATAAAAAAATATTTTCTGTGATAAAGCAGGAGGAAAACAAAACTGACTATTACGTGATCAACTCAAAGTAAACCTGAACTCAAATCTATCTGCATCCTTGGAGATAACCAGACAATTTACTGATTTAAAAACTTTCACACATTTAAATACAATTGTGTATCATTTAAACATGATACATTGAAAACGGGTGAAGTGGTTCACAAACACTTGATATAAAGAAACACATCATACATATTGTTTATTAGTGCTGATTTATGAAAATGTGCTCACAGTCAGAGATAATTTCATTTTTTTTTTATATGGATGATGTCCAATTGAACAGTTCTAACATGAAAAAACACATGAAATACAAAACTTTTCAAAAAGAAGACCTCATAAGTACAAAAACAAATAACATACAATGTGCTGCATTTCATCTTTTTCTCCCCCTGTGTGCTTTCCGTTAAGAAAATTAAAGTGCAAGACAAACACCAGGGTTCAAATATTTTCGAAAAGAAACGGCGCAACTCCAAACGAATATCAGATCCTTTGTAACAACTCTTTAAAAACATATTCAATACACAAACCATGCATGGACTGACTAAAAACAGATGGTTATCAGATTATAACATTAGACATGTTAGATGTCTATGGTAAAAATGGCATAGTACTGACACGCACAATAAATGAACGCTTATGCAAATTCCACGGGGTTGATAGAAAACCGATCTCTCGCCACTAATTAACAATTCTACACGATTCGGTGAGATGTTAATGTGCTAGACACGTTCGCAATTGGTTTCTTTTGAGTTCGTCGCAATGAAACATGAGAATTACCAACACTGATGGGTAATTACAACACACGCTCGTCACCTCGACGCACTCGTTTTGTCATTTTGGTTTTCCTACTTTTCGAGGGCAACAGTTTTGAGAGCCTTTACCAAAGATTAAAACAAATAATCCACTCGATGCTTCAGAGCGAAATCACAACCTCATAAATAATGCAAAGAAAATGGATATTTACAGAGCACAGTGGTTTGTATGAGGCACTATGTTGTACTGAACATGTTACATTTCTGTGGTGTGACATTGTACTTGCAACAAAAAAATGACATTGTCAATGGACTGAGGGTATGAATAATATATCCGTAAACGGATATAAATTATCATATGCCCAAATGTTTTCATGTTTATGCCCATGAAATAAACTGCTTTCAATCACTTTACAAGTACTTTGCTGCTACAGATCTGATTATTCACTCCATCATGCAATTTGTTAGATTCATATAAATCTAACGTCCCACTGTTCAGTCATTCTTTTGAATGTTGCGATCTAGAATGGTCGAAATGAATTACTTCATTAACTGTTTGCAGCTTATTAATGTCAATTACAAGTTTTCTTAATGTGTAAAGTCTGATATTTAACTTCACAGGATACTGAATTGCTGTTGTCAGGATATTAAGATATAACATTAGTATTCAAATCTCAAGACTGCAAATGAGGCAGAAGATTAGAACTGTGCTCTGCCTATAAAGGAATAGTTTGCCAAAAATGAACTCATCCTCAGGCCATCCGAGATGTAGATGAGTTTGTTTCTTTATCAGAACAGATTTGGAGAAATGTAGCATTACATCACTTGCTCACCAGTGGATCCTCTGCAGTGAATGGGTGCCGTCAGAATGAGAGTCCAAACAGCTGATAAAAACATAATCATAATCCACACGACTCCAGTCCATTAATTAATGTCTTGTCAAACAAATGTTTCTTACAATGTAACTTACAAACATGCAGCTTTTCACTTCACAAGATGTTAATTGATGGAATGGAGTCTTGTGGATTATTGTGATGTTTTTATCAGCTGTTTGGACTCTCATTCTGACGGCACCCATTCACTGCAGAGGATCCACTGGTGAGCAAGTGATGCAACATTTCTCCAAAAATGTTCAGATGAAAAAACAAACTCATCTACATCTTGGATGGCCTCAGGGTGAGTCAATTTTCATTTTTGGATGATTCCTTATTCTTGATTCCTTTAAGAGGGAAAAAAATTCTAATGAACACAAATGATCAAAAACAAAAGGCCCTAACAAGATCCCAATGTACAAAATAAAAGCTCCTGTAATTATAAGAAAGATTTCCATTCATTTTGGTTAGAGTCAAACTTTAAACCTTGAGTAAATTAAGCAGCCGTGTTTATTCAGAATTAAACACGACATATATAGCACATTCATTTCATGAGCCTAAATGTAATTTATGCTGACGCAACGCTAGCAGGCTGTCTGACAGCCAGTTGTCATTTTGCCAGCACTGTACCGTGGTAATTCTGCCCAGAATCGGCACCAGTGAGCAGTGGATGCTAAGTGCAGTCAGACTGCTGATTGGTGAAATCACTGCCATGTGAATCACATTGTGTTGTTAGTTAAACCCGTTTAGCTTTTTAAAGCACCATTACTCCATAGTAGAATTATCACCTCTAGTCATTTCCCATCTCACATATATTACTACAATATTTGAATAAATAGCAACATCTGATTTCAAATCTCTTTATACATAATCGGAGTGGTTTTGCTTTTAAATTAAGTGCCTATTAAACCTCTATTAACCATCAACAGCCTTCGTTGAGCTTTAACCTTAAAGGAGATTTTTCCCCCCCAAATCATAGCCTTTTAATACCTTTAAATTGAATAAAGCGCATCAAATAATATTCATAAAACTACTAATCTAATCTATTTTCCCATTCCATTGATTATGTATGTTCAAATAAAAAATATGATTAAATTGCGAATTAATTTTTTTTTTAAATCACATTAATGAACTTTTGGCTAAGATCAAGTGTAATATCTGAAAACAACTAGTAAAAAATATTTAAGGCTAAAAAAAAGAGCAAAATTCTCCTTTAAGACATGATAATCTACACAAAAGGATGCTGTTGTGGCTCAAGCTTTGTAAAATTTGTGTAAATAAATAATTAGTACATATTTCAGTTTAAATTTAAATAATATAATCAAACTTAAGAAATCTTAAATTCTAATTTTTTTTGTACATGCTTTTAGGGTGACAGTGCACACTTTACTAGTAACTAATAATAATAATATTCCATAGTAGCAATATAGTGACGTTGGCTATACATTTGGAAAATAAAACGTTTTAAATTAGTTCTGGTATGCTTTACCTATGAAGATATTCTTCTGGGCTCACGGATAAATTATTTACATCTGTTAAGTGTTAAATTACGTTGCTGTAAGAGAACGACTGAACAGACCTGAACGCAGGGGGCGGGGCTTTGAGAAGAATCCTGAAATCACAGCCTCATTTGCATATTTAAAGGGACTTTAGAGGTCTTTGTTTTTCCATCCACCTACACTGTGCACCATATGAACCAGTAGTGTCTTCTCGACCTTCACAACAGCAACTCGATGTAGTAATTTCGAAGTTTGTATCTGTTATTTGCGACGTCTAAAAAAACTGAACTATTAACCCATTCACTGGGCGAGGGAGGGACTTTTTTCAAACCCTGAAGTTGCAAACCCGTAATACCACTCTTTGTCATCTGAACAACTAGAAAACACACTCAAATGTCTCAATTCATGTTTTACAAACACAAACATGCAAAGACGGTTAGAGCAAAAAAGAGCAACTGCTCTCTTATGGCACTGAGAATGGTGACAAACACCAACAGATGGTAAGCAGTTCCTTGGTAACTCTGATGATTTATCTTTTTTTTTTTAGATTTCCTTTCGTTTTAGAACTGAGCTGAACCAGATTGGACTGTTATTTGTGAGTATATCTGTTCGTTTCAGTTTTCACTGCTCTAAAATTCGCTCTTTCTTGTCAAAACAGTCAAAACTTTTGTTCTAGGCCACTTAAATTCATAATCTCTTTAAAAGCACTCCTGGAGTCTTCAGGAATTCAATTCACTTAGGTTTCGTATTAATCATATGAAAATATGAGTGTAGTTGCTGTTTGAAGGCAACAATGACAGGTTGTACTTCTATACATCATTTTACACAGAAAGTAG